TAGTAAGGACATAGTCCAATCTCCCACAGGAACCTATAGAGAGTAGCCTAGTAAGGACATGATCTAATCTCCCACAGAGCCCTATAGAGAGTAGCCTAGTAAGGACATAGTCCAATCTCCCACAGGAACCTATAGAGAGTAGCCTAGTAAGGACATAGTCCAATCTCCCACAGGAACCTATAGAGAGTAGCCTAGTAAGGACATGGTCCAATCTCCCACAGGAACCTATAGAGAGTAGCCTAGTAAGGATATAGTCCAATCTCCCACAGGAACCTATAGAGAGTAGCCTGTTAAGGGCATAGTCCAATCTCCCACAGGAACCTATAGAGAGTAGCCTAGTAAGGACATGATCTAATCTCCCACAGAGCCCTATAGAGAGTAGCCTAGTTAGGACATGATCTAATCTCCCACATGGCCCTATAGAGAGTAGCCTAGTAAGGACATGATCTAATCTCCAACAGAGCCCTATAGAGAGTAGCCTAGTTAGGACATGATCTAATCTCCCACAGGAACCTATAGAGAGTAGCCTAGTTAGGACATGATCTAATCTCCCACAGGAACCTATAGAGAGTAGCCTAGTAAGGACATAGTCCAATCTCCCACAGGAATCTATAGAGAGTAGCCTAGTAAGGACATTGTCCGATCTCCCACAGTGCCCTATAGGAAGTAGCCTGTTAAGGGCATAAAAACATCCCAGTGTTTTAAGGGTCCATACATATATTAGATAATATTTTCATCAATAACATTGAAGCAAAGAGTCAAGTGAATTTTATTAGAACTGTATTCCAGACGTTAAATACTATTATTCAATCTATATTTGACCACAACTTGTAAATACAAATTAGTAAGACTTACCATAGGATCATTTTCAAGAATATCAGGCTGTAGTAAAGTGATGGTAGATTCTAAATCCTTGCGAAATCTGGTCTTCATTCGCTTATTTTTTAACCCAATGGATTTAGGCTTATCGACAGCATCACATGGGTTGGAGTCAGTATTCTCATCAACTCCCTCTTTATCTTCTAGTCCTCCATCATCTTCATTAATTGCCTCACTGGTTTCCATGGCAACCTCAGTTGATTCATATGGAATTGATGAGTTCTCATCATGGATATCCATAGCAATGTGATTAGTTTCTTCCTCGCTGTCAGATGCAGATCTATCATCATCCTCATTGGAATTAACCTCGTTTTTCTCTTCACCATCACTCATGTAATCAGCAGGGTAATGTTGCATTGCGTCTTCTCCATCCCTACAATCATACATTGCAAACAATGAAGTCTGCTTTGTTTTGTTTGTAACTGTGGTAATCTCATCTGATTTATCACCTACATCTTCAATTCTAACATCAGATTTTAAACTTTCACGAATATTTTGCATTTCTGAAGTAATCATCACACCAGGTGCCGATGTTGTCATCACAAATGAGGATGCTGATGATGCTGAGGTGGTTGTCATAACAACTGAGGATGATGCAGGAGGATGACAGGTGCCAGGTGATGAAACTGATTTCACTATTCCAATTGGTGATGTAACTAATGCTGGATGTGGAGATATTGGTAATACCATCACTGGAGAATGTGATGCAACATAACTCTGCACAAGAGGTGATGCTGGAGCTGGCCTAGGAACATCAGAGCTGGGTACAACCACATTGGCCACTGCTGTTGAGTTGGTATTCGACAATAACATAGACAGATTAGATGGATTATAAGCTACTACTTGTAAAGCAGATGGTTTTGTTACTACAGTTGAAATATTAGGCTGTTCTGTTGGTGCATTATTGGATGCAAAATTTGGTTCACTAGCCGTATCAGACCATGTTGTCTGAGGACCAGCCAATGGTGATGGTAAAGGACTCGATATACTTGATGGTTGAACTGATGGACCATGACCCTGAAGGTCTGATGGTGGGATGGCCATGATTGCTGGAGAACCTACAGAACAAGATACAGGTGCTGGTTGAGGTGTGGAAACTGGAAGAGTTGCTACACTTGATACAGCCAAAGGTAGTGTTGTGGGGCTTGCCATGCTGATAGGCAACAACGGTGAATTAGCCACGTTTACTTGCAATGATGGCGAGCTCGATACACTAACAGGTACAGCAATCATTGCTGATGGCAAGCATACAGAAGGAACAACTGTTGGTTGTGGCATAATATTGCTAGGCTTCATGACTGGTAGTTTTTTCTTTTTCTGTCTGCCTTTAGATTTGAATTTAGGCCAGGTACCCTGCATGGTAATTTTGCCTTCCTTCAGTTTAGACTCCTTTTCAACTTCCAAATTAGCTGGTAGGATAGTTTTGTACATAGGGTCTGGCTTTCTGGCATGACTAAAATACAATTTATGACGGATATCTTCAGGATCTATTTTAGTTATGTTAGTTTTAGCCATAATATCATGATGCTGAGACTTTGCTTTCTCCATCAATACAACATCTTGATCTCTGCGCTCACTGACCACTATCTGTTCATCCTTGATCATTGCAGTGCCTTCTGAAATTCTTTTGTATTCCAATTTTCTTTCATATTCCTGTCAATAATAATTGATTATAATTCTTACTAAATCAAATACAGCATGTTCAATTCAGTGTCTATCATGCGACTTTTGTACCTCCAGAAAATAATTTGTTTTGGTGGGAAGATATATACTGTCTAGTAGTTCACAGCTGTTATGTAAGTGAGTTATGGCTGCCATTCTGTATACCTTGTTACAGCCAATGAAATGTGACAATTTGTTTTTTCCCCATGATGCAATGCACAAAGCGAAGTGTACAACAGCCAATATTGAAGTTCAATAATAATATGATGAATATAGCAAGATTTATTTCCATGCCAATATTTTTCAGCAAATATTTTGGTAATTTTTGTATTTAACTTTGAAATTATCCTCAACCAATTTTTATTGCATATTTCTATGTATTTATATCAATATTCAGGTCATAGTTCCAGTTTCAAAATATTGTGATGATAAATGATGTGATTATGTCAAAATTTCAAAGCTATAATTTCTATGCTGTAGCAATATTATTATAATACTAAATCCTGAAAAATTCTATGGGACTTGTACAATTAGGGTTAATCCCCAAGTTAATTTTACTGGTACATGAAAATATTTATCAACATTTTTGAAAAATATGAACAATGTAATGTGGAGTGTCAAGAGCAAAATAATTGCATACCTTTAACCAGTCTGGTTTTCTGTTGCCGGTGAGATAGAGTGGGGGTACCTGGTTACCAGGAAGTAGTTTCTCAATAAACACTGGCATAGCAGGTAACGTACCATGTCGTTTATATAACTGCAATCAATTAAGAAAATAAATCATCAGGCAAAGATATAAAGGTTTTGAGATTTGGTCTTTCACATTTACCTATGGTATGGTTACAGAACTAATCATAGTGGCAAATTTCACCACTTACTTACCTTTACGACATTATCTCTTGCTCTTGTCGCTGAAAGATTCTTAACTCTAATTTTAATCTGTTCCACACTTTTCACTGGTAGCAAGTGTTGTGATATAAGTGATGCCCAGTTATCAAATCTCTTGAACTGTTCAAGTCCCAAAGCTAATAAGCTAAAAAATATAAGTAACGATTCAAATTTGAATCACGAAAATAGCACTTATACACCAGGAAGGTATATATAAATGACACCCGGAAAGTTGGACAATACATGTAAAAGACACCTAGACAGCTGGACAATACATGTAAAAGACACCTAGACAGCTGGACAATACATTTACACTTTTCAGGAGTCATAGCTAATATACTAAAAATAAAATTTAATGATTTTACAGGATGTAAAATGAGTAAATCAAGATGGCAGCAATTATCTTCACAAGTCAAACACCTAATGACAGGAATATTTTAACAATTAGACAAAGCAAGTCAAATCAAAAACTGGGAGGTGAAATGAACTCTTTATACAAATTAAGTGCAAGTTTAATTAAGCATGTGATCACATTTGATAGTCCATATTGGCAACATAACGTTTACAGTAGTATGTTTATCTGCAACGTTGTTAAACATTTACAAATATAACTAGTTGAAGTTAGAAACCAATTACTAAGTGAATGAAAGTTAAATTCAAATTTGAAGTTCTGTTGTACTATTAACTGCAATATTTAACCTCACACTAATCTGGACCACCATAACATATGTTGATTTATTTTTTAACATATAGTTGACATCTTTCATAAGCACACTTACTTGTCTTCAGATTCAGCAAATAAATGTTTTTTCTGTGGGTGATTTGACAAACCACAAATTGGCAGTAATTCTGCATACATAAACACTGGGTCATGAGCTATTATATCTTGTGCCCATTCTTTTATTGGTGGAGGTCGCTCTGATGTTTTGCTATTTTTGCTAGTTTTCTTGCAGTCTGGCAATATAAAATACCAGTGTGTTAATTACGGAGAGGATAACATGCATATGTGATTGAAAGTTGAAGTATCTGCTAAATTATTTGAAAGTCTGTAATGAGTAAATAACTGGAAACAGTTGATTTATATGTTATGCATGTCAAAACCAGATTTAAAAAAATTTATCTGGATAGATGTATGTAAATTAGTGTGTGTGTGGTTTGGCTGTGTGTATGCACCATTTGTAAAATACCTTATGTAAATGCTCACATTGCACCAGCATGTCAGTTTTGATCAAAATATCCAAGTATGCAATATCAGCACACTTTATTTCTAATTAATAATTCAAATAAAAATAATCATTCACATCCAGCACTGTAGTGCACCCAGTACAGTAAGTGCATGAATTTAAAACACAGGTAAACTGGAAAGAATACTTATACCGTACTCGACTGCGTTAGCGCCCAGGGGCCTCAACTCAGAAAATCATGATTTTTAGGGGTGGGTGCTTACCTGAGCACCCCCCTCGAAAAAGAGTGCAAATGAAAAATTTGATTCATCAAGTGACAGATTACGTCTTTGAGGGAAAATCAAATTACTAAATTAGTTGAGTCGTCATTGATTTTCACAATGAAGAAACAGAAATGATCACAAAATAAAATATGCACATTTTATTACAATATTAATTATGTACCACCAGAATTTACGAAATTAAAAACATTTGAGTCTGTTGGAACAGTCAAAATTGTCATATTATCTCCTCTGACGTTGGTGTTGGATCGTACCCAAACTCTCAATGAAAATTACTTTCTGCCATGATGCATTTGCAGATTTGACCTGCAGCAGCGTCCTTTGACCTAATGGGTCAAGTTGGTTATTAACCAATCAGAATGCTGTGTTGTACTGAAGCAATTGTTCATAAATTTCCGAAGACTTTCCAGTAACGCAATGCGGAAGTGAATTATCGATGTCGAAGTACGATCTGTTGGAATTGATTTCAGCGAATAAACGACATGTTTTTTTCAAAAAAACTAGTAACTAGCCATTTTTGAGAGGTAACTGAATATGGCATAAAATATATACCGCATTTTACTTGTATTAACAGGTCATTGTCGAAGCGTAGTTTACGCACGGTTACCGTGTTCTACGCATTCACAACATGTTCACAGCGGTCAATATCCACGCTGTATCATATAAAAACAATTACCAAGATTCATTACGCAAGACCAAGTTTTAAATTAGTTGCATTTTGAAGGCAGCCCTCCAGATTGCAACCATTTTGGTCGCCATGGCGATTAAATTAAATGAATGACGATTCAAAAAAATATGTAGGGTGCCAATTGGCGAACTAAGAATAATCTGGCTGGCGACTAAACGTTCCGTAATATAAAACAGACTGTACAGCTTGTCAGCTCTTGGTGGCGCAGTTTTTCCCACAATTCAACACTGCACATGCGTATTACGTTATCCGGCATATTTGTTATGAACGAAACTAGTTGGTAGTCATGAAACAACGTACGATCGCAGCATATTTTGCAAGTCCAAGCCATGTACCACATAGTGAATCAGTGTCGGACAAGAGTGTTGAAACTCTGTAAAAAATCTAAAATTTCGGCCAGTTTTAAATAATTCGTGTTAAAAATCAAAATTAAGGTGCATTTTCGAACAGAAAAATTTTTCAAAATAGAAATCAGCAAATCAAAATAATGGGGATGATAGACAGTGTGCTTCATTAGTTTTTAAATTCAAATTGACGTAAACTTCCTCTTGTTTCACGGTAAAAGCAAAGGTCGTGGCCGAGTTGTAGGCTAAACAACTCAAAATCAAAACAAAGTCATCAATCAGTATGTATTATGACAAGGAAAACAAAACATCAAGATGCGGAGAAGAGGTCAACATAAAACTAATAGATCAAAAAAGTTATTAATGTATCAAGTTACCTCTCTATGTGACTTTTCATGGACATTATTTGCTTGTTTTCAATTAATTTTAACAGTTGTTTGCTTCATTGAATTAAACTGAATTCGTCCAGTTACGAACAAAGCTGTCTCGCATCACCTAGGAAAACTTGCGAATGTTCGAAGTATGGGTACAAAAGATACATGGAAGTTTAGCAACTGGGACAGTTTGTATTTCCCTGACCCAGTGCTATATATCCGGTTATAATCAAAGCTCACATGTCCTTATTTGAGGAACGAGATTCTGCCGTAAATTTGCCCCGGGCCATTAAACGGCAGTTTGGATTAGAAAAAATAAAATGAGATTTAAAAAAAATAAAATGGAACTTTCAAGGTGTATTTTGGCATCATTTTTCGGGCATTTCATTCATTCCTGACGCCGAAAATTTTTCCCATCAAAATCCCAACCAAAACATCATCAAGTCTTTTCCATGTTACGTTCAATAACATTTAACATATTTAAATGAGCTATGGTAATTTGAACACGTTGACATCATCCAGTTTAGTTTCTCTGTGATACTATATGATTTAGTATCATATGCTTGAATAAATACTTAAATTTAAACATAATTGTTGTTTATGTGTAGTCTGTAAAACATAATAAATTCTGGCGACCTACAATTTTGTACTTAGCTACTAAATTTTCCAGCTGGCCACCAAAAGTTTGAACTTGGTGGCCATTAGGAAAAAAATTTAACTTGGAGGGCTGGGAGGGGTGGGTGCTTTGCCAAATGTGACCCCAAATATAAAAATTGTGGGGGGTGGGCGCTTGCCCAGGCATATTACATGCACTTGCACATACATACCAGTCTTTACAGGAGCTGAATGTCTTAACGGAGCAGAATGAACTATTTTCAGTGCACCCTGTAAATTACAAGTCCTGAAAGCCGACTGCATTCCTGAATAACCATTCTGTTCAAATGTGCTTTCGTTTTTCACTGCAAACATTTCCGCTTCATTCTACATTGTATACAAAGATACAGCCACAGTGAGATAATATGACTGGACTAAACACCGATTTCAAATTATTCACAAAGATACAACCACAGTGAGACAATATGACTGGACATTACTCCAACGTACATAATTTGATCAAAACACCTATTACCGTTAAAATCCTATTATAAACCGCGGTTTATATTACAATGTATCAAATAAAAAATTGTTCGGGGTGCGGTTTCTATTACGTACATATTGCAATCACTAAATGGGCGTGGTCATTTTTTGCCCACATCACTTGCACAAAACAAACAATACACCGTACAATCTTTTGAATGTAAGCGTAACTCCAATTTAGATGTCAGGAAAGAGTGATAAACGTCAAGTCACAAAAAAACTGTTCACATGAAAAAAAATACTCAGTATATTTAATGTAATATGCATTTATTTTTTTAATTTTCTTCATAACGGAAAGTATATTCTGACAGGAGTTTCAAATAAAAACAAACATTAATGCATTGCTTAGTAGAAAATGATGATGGTACGGCACTAAAAAAAGTATGGTACCATGTGTACGGTAACGCAATCCAATCCGGCCATGCTTCGGCTCACAAGTGAATAACTTACTTGATTTCGAAGTGTTGAAATTGTTGATTATTACTCAGTAGTGACGCACGAAAATAAATTCGTTGAATTGTTATCAAATGCAAGTAAGATTCAACTTAGTTTCAACTTAAGCGAATTATTTCGGTCACATGTAAACAATTGATGCGATACAACATCCGCCATGTAGTTTGAATGCACACGAGACGTTACTTGACCGGGTAAGTCAAGTCGCTAATTAACCAATCAAAATGCTGGATGGTGCCCACATGTTCAAATTACATTAGTTCATTTAAATATGTTAATGACAGGTCACCGACTTCATGGTGAACGAAACCCGGAAGGGATTTACCGATAATGTAGTGCGATCTTTTGGCTTTGATTTCCATGGAAAAACGACATGACTTTTTTTTTAAATCAAGAAATTAGTTGTTTTCAAAAGATAAACTGAGCATTGAAAAAGAATCTAACAGTTTTTCGGTGAGAACAGCTCATTGTCGAAAACTTGCGACACACAGACGCATTCATAA